CCTCCAGCTCTGTTTTTCTTTCTCAAAATTGCTTTTACTCTTCGGTGCTTGGGCTATTTGGGGTCTTTTGTGTTTCCGTATAAATTGTAAAATTTTTTGTTCTAGCTCTGCAAAAAATGCCACTGGTAATTTGATAGGGATTGCATTGAATCTGTAGATTGCCTTGGGTAGTATAGTCATTTTGACAATATTTTGTGTGTGTGTGTGTGTGTGTTACGTGGGTCTCTCACCATTGTGGCCTCTCCCGTTGCGGAGCGCAGGCTCAAAGGCCATGGCCCACGGTCCCAGCCGCTCCGCAGCATGTGGGATCTTCCAAGACCGTGTTTCCTGCCTCGGCAGGCGGACTCCCAACCACTGCGCCACCAGGGAAGCCCCATTTTGACAATATTGATTCTTCCAATATAAGAACATGGTATATATTTCCATCAGTTTGTGTCATCTTTGATTTCTTTCATCAGTGTCTTTTAGTTTTCAGAGTACAGATTTTTTCCTTCCCTAGGCAGGTTTATCCCTAGGTATTTTATTAGGTTGGCCAAAAAGTTCGTTTGGGTTTTTCCGTAACATCTTACCAAACTTCCTGGCCAACCCGATATTATTTTTGATACGATGGTAAATGCGATTGTTTCCTTTATTTCTCTTTCTGATCTTTCATCGTTAGTGTTTAGAAATGCAGATTTCTGTGTATTAATTTTGTATCCTGCAAGTTTACCAAATTCATTCATGAGCTCTAGCAGTTTTTTGTTAGAGTCTTTAGGATTTTCTGTGTATAGTATCATGTCATCTGCAAACAGTGACAGTTTTACTTCTTTTCCAAATTGGATTCATTTCTTTTTCTACTCTTATTGCAGTGGCTAGTACTTTCAAAACTATGTTGAATGAAAGTGGCAAGAGTGGATATCCTTGCCTTGTTCCTGATCTTAGAGGAAATGCTTTCAGCTTTTCGCCATTGAGTGTGCTGTTAGCTGTGGGTTTGTCATAGACGGCCTTTATTATCTTGAAGTAGGTTCCCTCTGTGCCCATTTTCTGGAGAGTTTTTATTGTAAATGGATGCTGCGTTTTATCAAAAGCTGTTTCTGCGTCTATCGGGGCGATCATGTGGATTTTATTCTTCAGTTTGTTAATGTGCTGTTTCACACTGATTCATTCGCAGATATTGGAAAATCCTTCCATCCCTGGGACAAATGCCACTTGATCGTGGTGTATGATCCTTTTAATGTGCTGTGGGAGTCAATTTGCTAGTACTTTGTTGAGAATTTTTGCGTCTGTGTTCATCACTGATATTGGCCTGTAATTTTCTTTTTTTGTGGTATCTTTGTCTGGTGTTAGTATCAGGGTGATTGTGGCCTCATTGAATGAGTTTGGAAGTGTTCGTTCCTCTGCAGTTTTTTGGAATAGTTTCAGAAGGATGGTTGTTAGCTCGTCTCTATGTTCAATAGAATTCGCCTGTGAAGCCATCTGGTCCTGGACTTTTATTTTGGGGGAGTTTTTTAATCACAGATTCAATTTCAGTACTTGTCATTGGCCTGTTCATATTTTGTTTCTTCCTGGTACAGTCTTGGGAGATTGTACCTTTCTAAGAATTTGTCCATTTCTTCTAGGTTGTCCATTTTATTGGCATAGAGTTGCTCGTAGTAGTCTCTTACGTCAGTTGTAACTTCTCCTTTTTCATTTCTAATTTTTTTGGTTTGGGCCCTATCCCTTTTTTTCTTATGAGTTTGGCTAAAGGTTTAGCAATTTTGTTTATCTTTTCAAAGAATCAGCTTTTAGTTTCATTGATCTTTTTGTTTTATTAGTCTATTTATTTCTTCCATGACCTTTATGATTTCTTTCCTTCTACCTATTTTGTATTTTGTTTGTTCTTTAGTTGCTTTAGGTGTAAGGTTAGGTTATTTGAGATTTTTCTTGTTTCCTGAGGTGAGCTTGTATCACCATAAACTTCCCTGTTAGAACTGCTTTTGCTGCATCCCATAAGTTTTGGATCCTTGTGTTTTAGGTTTCATTTGTCTCTAGGTGTTTTTTGATTTCCTCAGTGATCCATTGGTTGTTTAGAAGCATATTGTTTAGCCTCCACGTGTTTGTTTCCCGCCTAGAGAAGTTGCTTTAGCATTTGTTGTAAAGCTGGTTTGGTGGTGCCAGTTCTTAAGCTGTTGCTTTCTCTGTCAAATCTACATGAGAGCCTTGCTGGGTAGAGTAATCTTGGTTTTAGGTTTTTCCCTTTCATCACTTTATATTGTGCCACTCCCTTTTGGCCTGCAGAGTTTCTGCTGAAAAATCAGCTGATAACCTTATGAGAATTTCCTTGTTGCTTTTAAAATTTTCTCTTAATCTTTAATTTTTGTCATTTTTATTACTGTGTGTCCCGGCATGTTCCTCCTTCTTCTTCTTCTGGGACCCCTATAATGTGAATGTTGGTGCATTTGATGTTGTCCCAGAGGTCTCTTCAACTGTCCTCATTTCTTTTCATTCTTTATTCTGTTACACAGCAGTGATCTCCACCATTCTGTCTTCCAGTTCACTTATTCATTCTTCTGCCTCATTTATTCTGCTATTGATTCCTTCTAGTGTATTTTTCATTTCAGTTATTGTATTCTCAACTCTGGTTGTTCTATTTTCTCTTTCTTAAAACTTCTTGTAGCTCCTCACTCTGCATGCATTCTTTTCCCAAGTTCTTTGCCTCGGTTCGCAGGCTGCAAGATTGTAGTTTTCTTGCTTCTGGTGTCTGCCCCCAGTGGGTGAGGCTGGTCTAGAGGCTTGTGCAGGCTTCCTGGTGGGAGGGGCCAGTGTCTGCCCTCTGGGTGGGGCAGGGCTGTAACAGGGGGCACGTTGAGAGGTGTCTGTGGGCTCAGGGAGTTTTTAGGCAGCCTGTCTGCTGATGGGTGGGGCTGTGTTCCCTCTGTGTTGGTTGGTTGGTTGGTTGGCCTGAGGCCTCCCAGCACTGGCGCCTGTAGGCTGTTGGGTGGGCCCAGGTGTTGGTGCTAATTACCCAAGCAAGAGGGCTGCCCAGGTAGGTCTGGCCCAGGCTTCTACGAAGTCACTGCTTTCGTCCTGGGTCCTGGTGCTCTGCACCCTCCAAGAGTGGAGTCTCTGTTTCCCTCACTCCTGTGGGGCCCCTGCAGTCAAACCCCGCTGGCTTTCGAAGCCAAATGCTCTAGGGGCTCCTCCGCCACTGCCAGACCCCCAGGCTGGGGAGCCTGATGTGGGGCTCCGAACTCTCACTCTTCTAGGAGGCAGTCTGTGATCAAATTATTCTCCAGTCTCTGGGTCACCCCCCAGGTGGTGTGGGAATTGATTGTGTCACAGTTGCACCCCCTCCTACCATCTTGTTGTGCTTCCTTCTTTGTCTTTGGATGTAGGATATCGTTTTTGGTAGGTTCCAGTCTTTTTTTAATCAATGTTTGTTCAGCAGTTATTTGTGATTTTGGTGTGCTCGTGAGAGGAGGTGAGCTCAAGGTCCTTTCTACTCTGCCATCTTGTCTCTAGTCTGAATGGCTTTCTCCTGCTGGTAAGCCATCAGAATGAAGTGACCAAGTTTAGCAGGGCCTTGATCTCTGATATCTCCCAGTCTGTTTCTGTTCCAACCAAAATAGCATTTTCAGTTTTAGGTACCAACATATTTAACATCACCTAAGGAATAGTTACTCTTCAGTTTCTGTTGTGGAATGTACTTAATTATCTTTTTTCTGGGCTTCCAGTGCGAATGTCTGTGTCAACTATCTTTGTGACCTTGAGCAAGTGACTTAACCTCTCTGTGCCTTGGTATCCTCATCTGGTGTTTGGCAGAGATGCTTTGCAGCTGTACGTTGAGAGAGAAACAGCAGTCGACAGCCCCAGACCAGCTCCACCTTGACCCCAGGAATGTGCTTGTGCAGATGAGCTGAGCATTGATTCTTAAAATGATGTGGGTGACTTTGAAAAAGCCGTCTGAAGTTTGTCCAGATTCTGGAATTATTTGATTACGTCCACAAAGTAACAGGGAAAGGTTTCCCTATCTACGCATTGCTGCCATCTGAGGTAGGGAAATCCTTGACGACCTTTTATCGAGTCTTTTAATGATTTCTTAGTAATGTTCAAAATAGTTTGAGAGTTAAGGTCAGCTGATAACTGATTCTTTTCTTAGATTCAGATCTAAACAAACGCAGCATGATCCAGGGATATGCCTCTTGGCTCCAGTTCGCAATATTGTAAACTTGCCTTACGAGGATGCATTTGTTGTTCATACTACGACGTAAGTTTGTTTGCACAGCCAGGCCCACCCATTTATGTGATCTGGCAGATTCCAGGCTTCCTTAGGAAGACTACAGGTTCTTTTCAAAGCTGGAGCTGTCCATGAGTGAGGCTCTGCTCCATGAAAGCCAGTGTGCTTCAGCCAGGAGAGAGGAGCTCGTGTCTCCACAAAGCCAGGAGAGAAGTCTGGAATGCTCTTACCATGCTGTTCCGTTTTAAACAGCCTCCTACATTCTGTCTCTTAAATTGTGCTTCACATCTTCCCTGGCACTGGTGGGAGCTTCCCTGGGTAAACAGCAGTGCTTAGATTCTGCTTCCAGGGCAGCCGCGTGCCTTCCCAAACACGGCTTCCAGCAATGTGTGTAGAAACGCAGCCTGAGAATTCCCATCCACGCTGCAGAAGAGTTAACGGTGGTACCCAGGCTTCTCTCCATCCTCGAAGATTTACTGGGAAGGTTCAGTTACTGGAGGCTGCAAACATTCACAGGCACGTCTGGACACCCTGCTGTAACGCACATGGTCTGTGTAAGGTGGGTTATCTCTGCTACCTACTTGAGTTTAATCCTGAGTGATGATACCTGAAACACTGCCTTTTTTCTATATATATTAAAATATTCAGCTATTAAGAATAAATCATTTTGTATTATCAGTGGAGTGTTTTATACTTTATGGGAAGCCCTATCTGCTGCTACTATTTCTTTCGGTCCTGTTTTTCCTGAGTTACGGATTATCCAGTTACTCTTAGTACCTGCTCCCCCCACCCCACCCCCGCCATGTTCGTCCTACATATTGTTGTTACCACTCTTCATAACAAAAATATGTTCCAAAAATATTCCTCTATTCTGGTTATTTGCCTCTCCCAGACACTTACCTGTGAAATGGGTAGTAGGTGTGTCCTGGGGCAAGCTATCTGACTTAATTGGAGCCTCGTTGGTCCGGACTGTAAAATGGGGATGATTATACCTACTTTGCAGAGATTTGGTTGAATTAGAAGTCTTGCATCTGTTAATTCCAGCGAAGTGTCACACATAATAGGAATGAAATAACAGCTTTTCTAACACCTCTCGTGGCCTCTTATTTCGTTCACATCCTGAACTTGAACTAAGCAAGAGAGGCCCCGCCAAAATCCAGCTACCACCTGGGTGCTCACTTTTGTCAGCCCAGCGCCGTGCAGCCTTCTTTACCTGCAGCCTCTCGTGAGGCCAGAGCTGCCACCATACTCGTTTTCTAGAATGAGGGAGCAGACTCGAGGAGGTTAATTTACCTGCATGGCTGTGTAGGGCTTGTCGCATAGCAGCCCAGGGTGGAGCTGGCGTTCAGACCCCCGAATCTGTCTCCAGGGCCAGCTATCCTCTTAGCCTCGGCCTCACCCTCCCGCTCCAGGCCAGATAAGGCAGCTGCCTCCATCTGCCAGAGGTGGGGAGCCTGGTCCTGCCGTGCACTGTATGTTGTCCCTCTTTTCTCCATTCCTCCAAAAGGCGCAGCCTTGCCTCCCTGCTCCTTTCCCCGTGGATTAAGTTGCATTGCGGTTTGACTCAGACAGTGACCGAGACCACACTGCATTCACTGATCCATGTCACTTCCTTACGTCCCCGTGATAAGCCTCACTCGTACCATCCACCTCCCTGTAATTCCTTACAGAAGGCATGCACAGAATCTCGTCTTACACTTAGGGACGCCATATAGGGAAGCAGCTGTCATGCTAAAGAAACCACTTGATTTAATTGTTCGTTTACAGCAGCAGCTGAGGCCGTGTGCACAGGAAGGCCACGTGCCGCCCAGAACTGTCGGCGGCAGGACGGGAGCTGAGCGCAGGACAGTGACTGTTTCCCATATACTCGAGCTCTTGGTTTTAATTACATTGTGCTCCCCCGTTCTATGAATACCTCGTTCCTGCCACACTCAGTCAGCCTCCACTCCTGCTATATTTTCAGTAGCTCGTTCACGTACGGAAGAGGAAATTGAAACACAGCAGGCTGCTTCTGCACCTCCTTTCCTGGTTAGGCAGGCAGTGGGCTAGCTGAGAACAGAATCCCCTAGGATGGCCTTTGGGCGTCTTCACTAGAAGGTCCTTCAGTTCCCCAGACCGACCAGGGGTATTTTTTGGTAACTTCTACCAGTTGACTCTTACTGGCATAATGGCTCATTTTTCAACACTACAAGAGAAAAAGTTAATGGTGTGACTTTTAGTACATTCAAATCCTAAGAGAAAAATCCTAAATTGTCTGGGGCACCCTAGGAGCTGGTTAGCTGGCTTTCTGAGGAACGTGATGGATTCTCCTCATAAATGAGCAGAATTTCTGGCCTGAAAAAGGCCTTGAGGTTCAAGCCCCATCATCACTAACCCAAAGAACAGGGCTGTGGATGCGTGAAGACCAGGAAATCCATCGTGTGAGGAAAGCAAGGCCTGATAGTACAATTCTCTTGCAGACTAGAGAAGGCAAAGGTCAGGACAGTTCAGAGGCCATCTCATGAGTGTAAAACATGATTTTCTTCCTGAGGAACCAGAAGGTAACAACCAAGAAATGTAAGGTGTGACATTCCCTTCCTTACCAAGCCGCCCCTTACCAAGACTGTGCCAAGTCTTAAGGCTATTATGTATAAATAACTCAAGGGATCGTCAGGTAGCAAAATAGTGCATGAAAGATGTTTAACTTAATAGCCTTTTAAAGAAATAAACAGTCTTGTCTGGCAGGAAATGCAAATAAGATTAGGTTACTGAGACCTTAAAATTGGAACAATTTGGTCTCCCAGCTAAATTCCCCCATTCTCTCTTAATTTGCACCTAAACCTCAGTCCGATTTTATCTTGCTAATCACCCCTCGTCTCGCCCTCCACAGAGCAGTAGCCCAGCTCATCACCACTCACCCTGTAACACGGGCCCCCTTCCAGGGCCCTGAGCCCCAGGCAGTAAGTGACCGGGGGCTCCTGGGGCTTCATCTGAGGGTGGAGAAGCAGACACTCTTTCGGGGAAGGGGGCTTGTGAGGTTCCCAGGCAGAAGCAGGAGGTGCCGAACCCACTGGCCGGATGACAAGCTGCAGAGAAAGTGAAGCCAAAAGGAAACATTTATAGACACTCCCTGTGTAGAAAGAGGGCAGGGACTCCGGCCAGGCGTTCAGACTGAAACCAGGTTGCGAAATGCCTTCGTTTACACCTTAATTGCCGAAAGCGTACCTTTTGATGGACGTTGGCAATGGGCTTGTGAATTCCCCAGTGTTGACGATCGCTTCCCACCCGCTGTCAGCGATCCCACTGGGAACCAGCAGGGGTCGCCCTCCTCATGTGCCAGTGCCATCCCAGCCTAGGGCTGTGTACAGAACCCCTAATTAGCAAGAGCTCGGTTGCTCCCCCCAGCGTTCGTGCTCCCTCTTTGGCCTCTGTCAGACTTTACTGGCAGGCCAGCATGCAGACATCCCCACCGGGACCAGCAAGCTTTTTCTGCAGGAGCCCAAACAGTAAATATTTTCAACTTTGCGGGCCATCTGGTCTCTGCTGGAGCTACGCAACTCTGCCATCGTAAGCATGAGAACAGTCAGTATGTAAATGATGAGCTTGGTCCTGTTCCAGTGAAACTATTTATGAGCACTGGAATTTTCATTTCCACACATCGCAAAATGTTACTTTGGATTTTTCTGTCACCACCTTTAAGAAGTCATTTTTAGGTCCCAGGCTGTACAGAAACAGGCAAAAGGCCAGATTTGACCCCACAGGCTGTGGCTTGCTGACCCGGGATGGAGGCTCTCGTATCAAGACTTGATATCAGTGGGAGGCAGATCTGTTCCCATAGGGACCAGGCACAACCAGGATGGCCCTGATTCAGAACAACTCTGGGCCACGGGTCCTCAGCTAGACCCCAGGTTCTTGAATAAAAACCACGCCTGTGTTCTGCAGCTAAGGAGAAGGAAAGCCTCAGGGGCCGAGAAGCTCTGCCTGAAGCAGAGACGACGGAGGTCCGAGGGGGTCTGGGAGGAGCGACCCCGTATGTGTGCCTTTCCCAGGATCCAGGGAGCAGATGGTGTGAGAGTGAGGGCATCTGGGAAGAGTGCAGGGCTGGGGAGCAAGGGTTCCCCAGGGAACCGTGCAGTAAAGGAGTGAGCCACATCTGCCCCCCTCCTACCTGCACTCACCTTCAGGTAACTTGGGTTGAATAAAAGATTCATCTTGGGGCTGAGGGAGGCATGGAGAGACATAGTTACAGCCGGGCTGTAGGCACCGCCCAAACTCACTGCTCATTAACATGTCCTGCACCAGCCTGAGGCAGGTTTCCTGTTCTCAGAGCCCCACAGGGAAGGAGCCAGCACCCCAGCCAGGGAGAATTGCAGAGGATGGGCGTGGCGGGTAGGTGTTGAATGTCTCTACTCCTGTTTCTAAGAGCTATACACCCATCCCCAGCAATGGATAGGCACTAACAGGATGGGTTAGAGTTCAGTGCAGCCGACAGCACCAGGAGGGGTGGGCGTAGGGTGGGCGAGAACACCGTGGGTAGGTGCTCGCCGGACACTTCACTCCCCACCCCAGGCCAGTGAAGGTACAGAAGGATCTAGGTCTAGAAGCCAAAGAGTGGGCCCGGCACTCGGGGGAGTCACACTTACTGTGCAAATTGGCATTTGGGTCCCTCAGGGCAGAAGCCAGCCGAGTAGCTAATACACATTATTCTGCGGACGTGGCGATATTTACACAGGGGACCTGCTGGGCAAAGAAAAAACAGCTAGAAGGATCTTCTTTAGCTAGTGGGGGAAACACACATGTCAAAGCTTACCGGCAAGGGGAAGCACCAACTTCCTAGCCGCATGACTGAGATGGGAAAGGGCACCTCAGAATGTGTGGGAGTAGGTGTCAGCTGGCCAGGCCTGAAACAGTAGCGTCAGAAGTGTCCCTAACGCGCTGTCTTGGAGGACTTCCATGGATGTGGGCTATAACATGCTTTTATTTATTTAGCTGTAGCAGGTTTGGCTGAGCAAAGGCCAACCAATCACACATCTTACTAATCCTCCTTCAGCCTCCCTCCCCTAAAATCCTCCCCGAACCAGGGCTGCCAGGAGCTCAGTAAGAACAACACACCCAGATACCGGAAAAGAAAGGACGGCGGTGCTCAGAGCACGGGGACTCCAACGGGGGCCCTGCCTCCGAACTTTGGCCAGATAGGGACAGTGAAATGTATTTACGTGACACCCAGATGAGAAGGAACAGAGAAATGTCTCCTATGGGTCAGACCCGATGCGCAGGGCTGCCCAAGGGGTCCTACTTCCACCCGGCCCCACGGCCCTCAGGGGAGCTGGTCCCCTTTTCATATTTGTTCAAGGTTACAAAGTCAATACATTCTGAAGCCATTGGGATTTGAACCGCAGTGAGCCTGCTCCAAGAAGCCCACCATGTACTGCAGAGGGTTTCTACTGCAGGGAGGCTGGGGGGAGCTACAGAGAGGCCTGCTGTGGGATTTCAACCTGGGGCAGACCTCCACAGGCCGCATCAGGAATGTGCATCCTTCCCCTGCCGGGAGACTCCCCCCAAGTCCTGCTCCCCCATGTCCCCTAGAGAGCCCCCTTTCTGTCAGGGCCTCACCGTCCTTGCAGAAACCTTGGTCATACCACGGACAGTCCCGGGTCTTTAAGGCCGGCTTCACATGGAGAAAGGGACATTCCTTGTTGCTGCAGTCACCTGAAAATCCCAGAGTTCTTTGTGCATAAGTGGGTTCATGTTTGCAGTCACTTCCGCCCTCCCGGAACAAGACTGACCCTGCCCCTTGCGTATAAGCCACTTCTCTGCCTTCTGGTGGTCAGCAGCTTTTTGAGGACAGCAAGATATTTCTAAACCTTCCTGCAACCTAAGAAAGGCGGATCGCAACCATACTGGCTAAGCGGGACTTGGGTGTGAATACACACATCTGCAAGAGTTGGGGCAGGGCCAGATATCCGGAGGTATTTAGAGGCTACTTGGGAGGAAGGAACGAGGAGAGATGGGGAAGGGGAGACCCAGAGCCAGCAGCTTAAGGTCCAGGAAGGCACGGATGCTGCGTGAAGGTGTTGCCGTGCACGTGGCTAAAGCTTCATCTCTATGATGAAACCTACATGGCTTCCAGAGTAAAGGGGTGCAGTTCTTTCTGGGGGAAATGCCAAGAAGAGCAGAGCACTGCTTCAAAGCTGGCACAGGGATTAAGATAAATGCAACACAGAGGGACACCTGTAGTTTCGCAAAGCCTGTGCCATAACCTGTCTGTGGATTAGACCAAGACCCCGGGCTCCTAGGAGGAGCCAGCCCTGTTTGCATAGGCCACAGGAGTTAGGGAGGGAGTCTAAGCACTCTTAGCTTCCCCTTAGGGACCCAGGGGCTCTGAAGGAACCAAGGGGGAAGATTCAGCCCTGTTTTCACCTCATTCATCACCTCATCACATTAATTAATTAATTAATTAAAGCCTACAACTTAGCGCTTTTCAGAGCCAAAAGGAACGCCATAGTGTCAATTCCACTGGTTTCCAAGCAGCTCCAAAGAGATCTATTTTTTTACATTGGGCTTGTGCAAAGCAAGGTTCCACCTGAACCTTCAAGAGTACCACTCCTTCCCCAGAGTTTCAACCCCACTCTTACCCAGTTCTCTCATTTCACAAACGAGGACACCAGGTCTCTCGGCCAGCAGGTGGCACCGCACCCCACCCGCCCGTCTGCCTGTCAGAGCCCCCTGCCCAAGGTACCTTTGGGATGAGCACATCCCAGAGCAGAACCAAAGCCCCCGGGCTTCCTAGCTCCTTTCAACTGCCCTTTCCCACTCCTACATCTCCCCAACAATTTTTTTTTTCAGGCTCCGCGGCATGTGGGATCTTCCCGGAGCAGGGCACAAACCCATGTCCCCTGCATCGGCAGGCGGACTCTCAACCACTGCGCCACCAGGGAAGCCCATCCCCAACAATATTTTTTAAGTAAAACGATTTACTTCCAATGAGAACTGTAATTATGCTTTGATATTAGAAAAAGGTATTCATTTACTCCAAGAGCAAAAAACACGGGTTACCTATTGTAACCACCAGTGTATACGTCCGCCCTCACAGTAGGGATTATTTGAGAGCAGAGCGGACCTAGTTCTATTCCCGTATCCATGCCCAGCACGTCCCCAATCCCCAAAAGAAAGCCAACCAAGGTTTTTGAAAGAATAAAGTGGCATTTTATATTAAGAGCTTTTTAGGTGACGCGACCAAGGGGGGACCAGGCTTCATATACACTTTGTCCTTTCTTACAAGGGACACATGCGGGCAACCCTCATGAATTGCCACCGCCAGGTCTCAAGTCCAAGGAGAAGGCAGGAAACAGAATTTGAGCCTGGGGGCTTCCCTGGCGGCGCAGTGGTTGACAGTCCGCCTGCCCATGCAGGGGACACGGGGTCGTGCCCCGGTCCGGGAGGATCCCACATGCCGCGGAGTGGCTGGGCCCGTGAGCCATGGCCGCTGAGCCTGCGCGTCCGGAGCCTGTGCTCCACAACGGGAGAGGCCACAACAGTGGCCCGTGTACCGCAAAAAAAAAAAATAGAATTTGAGCCTGGGGGAAGCTCTTACTGACCTTGGGGGGTGGGGTACATTCTTCCTGGATACCCAGGAATGCCCCCCCATGGACACTAATGAGGAACAGCTGCCCACAGCCCCCCCGACGTTTCAAAGCCAAGCCGCCTCAGTCAGAGGTGTCCCTGGAGGCTGGCCCAGCTCTCCCTCCAAGTCCCTCTTCGGAATACAGTTTGAAAACTACTAGACTAGATCATCCTTAAGGCTCCTTCCAGCTCTGAAAAGCACTGAACTGTAAAAGTTTATGGAGAAAGATAAGACCTGAAACATATGCACAGATCCCGTTCTTAAACCGGCAGTGGCTTCCCGCTACGTAGCCCCTCAGATGACAAAAGACTTGAGTCAGAGGGGGGTGACATGAGGGTCCAGACCTGACCACACAAGGTCATTTCAGGGGCCAAACTTCTGAAGCTCGCGATCTCCCGTTTACAATGACTTTCTATTGCCAATCAGTGATGCCAGTTTTCCATTTCCCGAAGCGATGTAAAGTTTTCTTCTAAAAGAGGAGTTAAAAATAGCAAGACGGTCGAAAGAGGAGGCGATGGTGCGCGTCGATGGGGCAGGTGCTTTGTGGAGACCTGGAGCACCGTGAAAGTGCCTTCTGTTTGGGAAACGCTGGCTCCGACCCACCCCAGCCCATCCCGGGGCTTGAGAGAGGGCCTGTTCAAGGCTCGTTTCCAGACAGCCCATCTGGGTGCGTGATTAGCCAGGAGTGGACCACGGAGGGCAACAATTCAGCCTTTGATTCCAGCCCTCTCCCTCCCCCGGCGGGACCGGCTGCGTGTGCCCGAGCCTGCTGGGGCAGTGAAGCAGGGCTCAGAGGACAGTTCCAATTTTTCTAGGGGGTTGGAGAAGCAGGGCCCCCGCGGCCTGGTCTGCCCACCTGGGACACGCGAGGCCTCCTTTGGGGGCCCCTCCCCGACTTCATCCCATCCCTCGGCCCCCACTGCTACCCTCCGGGGTGGGGGGCGGGCACCAGGAAGGGGCATTACCGACCGAACTTGGAGTAGAAGTAGCACACGGGCATCCTGGTGACGTCGTACTGGTGCAGGAACTTGCACTGGTCGCCCTTCTTGCACAGCCCCCGGAGCCAGTGCTTACACACCACCATCTTCTCCCCTCGGTCGTGCCGGAAGGGGCACAGCTTCCCTGGGGACACCAGAGCACCCAGCTGGGGGTCCCCGCTCACCTAGAGCCTGAGCCCAGCTCACCCCTGGAAGGAAGCCCCACCGCCCCTTCCCCTGGAGCCTGGGGGACGCTAGAATTGGGGGCCAGACACAGCTTAAAACACAGCTTCAAAGCCCTCTCTGCCTGGCATGGTGCCCTGGCCCTTCTCGAACCCCGGGGAGCCCCCAGGCTGTCAGGACACCTTCTGCAGCACCTTCCACACCCCTCCCCTCCAGCCTGATGGGGTGCTCCTACCAGACAGCAGAGCCCTGGTTTCCAGCCCTGGCCTCCCAAGCCGCCACCCATCCTAGCAAGGTGCCAGCACAAAGTGAGGCTCATAAAGGACCTGTTGAATTCACGTCTTAAAAAACCAAATGGGGCTTCCCTGGTGGCGCAGTGGTTGAGAGTCTGCCTGCCGATGCAGGGGATGCGGGTTCGCGCCCCAGTCCGGGAAGATCCCACATGCCGCGGGGCAACTAAGCCCGTGCGCCACAACTACTGAGCCTGCGCTCTAGAGCCTGTGCTCCGCAACGGGAGAGGCCACAACAGTGAGAGGCCCGCGTACCACAAAAACAAAACAAAAAAAAAACAAAAAACAAATGTTCTGTTTCCTGATTCCAGAGATCTAACATGGTGACGTAGGAGCCAGCTTGGTAACAATTCAGAAGGAACTGGAAATGCTACATTTCACCCTCTGTCATCTTCACTCAGGTGGTCTTGCCGTCGGCAGGAAGGACACCCCTCGGTTTCTTAGCAGGACCCGTCTCATGCTTGGCCACCTCTCCGATAGAATTTGTGGGGTGCTGGGGAGGTGTTCTTCTTAAATAGCCTTACCCTCCAGCCCTGGCCATTGGCTTGCCTGGGTCTGACCTTCCAGACCTAAGAACAGTTTTATTTCTTTGCAAGAGGGTATCTCTCTGAACCACTGTTCTAGAGACTGGATGGACCAAGCTGAGGAGACAGGACCCCAGGAGGCATCACTAGTCCTGGCTTCACAAAGCCTGGAGTGGCCGACAAGCTCATTTCCCTCCTCACCCCATCGTCCAGGGCTGCCCCAAACACCGACGAGGCATATGGCAAAAATGGCCCCAGGTCCCCCCTGTGCCTGGGCCCCTCCTGGCCTCCCAGCTTCCCAAGAACAAAATCACTTGGATCCCAAAAGCAGGTCCTAAACTCATTCAGAGTTTCTTAACCTGGATCTCTAGGGGGGACTGGAGACCCCCAAATTGGAGGCAAGACTTCTGGGGGCAACTGGGTTTCCATCGGAAGAGCCCGTGAGTGGTTCAGGAGGCAGAAGCAAAGCTGAGAGCCGCTGCTTTTCAGTCAGGTACCCCACACCCCCTGAAGCGCTGCTTTTGGGGAGAAGGGTTTGGAAGAGCAGTTTTTCCGTTTTGTTTTGTTCTTTTGGCCACGCCACGTAGCATGAGGGATCTTAGTTCCCCGACCAGGGATCAAACCCACGCCCCCTGTGTTGGGAGCTCGGAGTCTTAACTACTGGACCGCCAGGGAAGTCCCCACGGAAGAGCATATTGTCGAGCCACGTTGGGATGGGGGAGAAATAAGGATGCTTGCTGCAGCATCTCAGAGACTGTGGCCAGAGTTTTCTTAGGACACAAGAAATGGATGCAGGGACTTCCTGGTGGCGCACTGGTTAAGAATCCACCTGCCAATGCAGGGGACACGAGTTCGAGCCCTGGTCAGGGAAGATCCCACGTGCCGCGGAGCAACTAAGCCCGTGCGCCACAACTACTGAAGCCTGCGCGCCTAGAGCCCGTGCTCCGCAACAAGAGAAGCCACCAAAATGAGACGCCCGCGCACCGTAACAAAGAGTAGCCCCCGCTCGCCACAACTAGAGAAAACCTGCGTGCAGCAACAAAGACCCAACGCAGCCAAAAATAAATAAACTTATTAAAGAAAAAAAGAAAGGAACTGGATGGAACGTCTGAGCAGGTCCCAAATTAATTCGGAGGACAAGAGTAGGGGGAAGGAAAGCACTCCCCCCGCTGGGGGAAAATAAATAAGTCGGAGGCCTCCTGGGAGCACACAGCTGACACCCACAAACAATCCCACCTCCAGCAAGGCAGAAAGAAGGGAATGTCTCCTTCAGGGCAGCCCTGCCTGCCCTAATCAGTGCTAGTGAATCAGGGAAATGCTAGGGGGGTGGGGGAAGGTAGGTTTCTGGATGGAGCCCCCAACTTGCCCTTTGCCTACTTTTTATAAGACTAAATTTTTGCCCCGTCCCACCTTCCCCTCCCCAGGTACAAATCCAACACCCTATTCCAGGCCAAGCTGAACCCCGTGTGGCCTAGACAGCCCCCGCTGCCACCCACCCCCGACCCCAGCCCCACCTGCTGACCCACCTTTCTCACAGAGCCCTTTAGCGAAGAAGTTGCACACAGCTGAGCCGGACTCTGGAAGGAGAAGAAGGCAAAGGAGGGGGCTAGCTTCTCCAGAGGCTGTGGCTGTCAAAGGGCCCTAACCCCTCCAGCAGCAAGTCTCCCTTCTACCCACCAAGGCTTGGGCCTGGGGGTCCTCAAGTCCTGGCCCTTGGGATGCCGGCCTCAGGAACCAGCCTTCAGCCTCCACACCTAAGCCCCCCCAACTCTGAAACGGAGGTGCTGGAAGGGCCCAAGGCCAGCCTGGGAGCTTGGGAGGCTTCTTCCCAACTTCTTTCAATTTACCTCTCTTGGGTCTGCTTGCCCAGAAGCCAGCCCCATTTTTTTTTTTTTTTGGAGTCCTGGAAAGGATGTAAGAGGGGGGCCTGAGAAGCGAGGGGCTAAGCTGGGGCTCCCAGATGGCGGGCCCAAGCCCCCCTGCTCCTCCCTGGCGAGCTGCAGAGAGAAGGGGCCGCCCCATCAGGGAGCCAAGCAGAGGGGCCTGCAGAGAAGGGCGGGGGGGGGGGGGGGGGGGGGGGGGGGGGGGGGGGGGGGGGGGGGGGCGGCGGGGTCCCCGTCCTCACTCACTGTCCATGCCCTGGAAAGGCAGGAGTCCAGTGCCCTTCTGCATCTCTACATCCTTCTCGAAGGTGAAGGTGATCTGCTCCAGCCCTGCAATGACCTCCTGCATCCTCTCTCTCCTGCTGGGGCTACTAAAAGTTGCTCAAGCCGCCCGCAGATGGGCCTAATATAGCTCATCAGAGGCCCTTAAGGGGCCAGGCTCTGATGCGGAACCCCATCTCCCCGGCTGACTGCCAAGCTATACTCCCCAGGCACAGCTAGACCGGCGTTACCTGATGCAGGTGCAGACGCCCCAGGGCCCCAGTCCCCTACACCTGTACCTAAGTCCCACTCTCAGTGCGCGCTGCTGGGGAAGGATGAGCAAAGCCCCACACGCTGCTTATCTCTACATGTTCTCAAAGACGCCTATGCAGACGTTACCAAGCCCGTGTTGGTATTTTTTTTTTTTTTTTTTTTTTTTGGGGTTCGGGGGCCTCCCCGCTGCGGCCTCTCCCGTTGCGGAGCACAGGCTCCGGACGCGCAGGCTCAGCGGCCACGGCTCACGGGCCCAGCCGCTCCGCGGCACGTGGGATCTTCCCGGACCGGGGCACGAACCCGCGTCCCCTGCGCGTACTTTTAATGTAAAGACACAGCCACAGGTGAGCGGTGAGGAGAGTTGCACAACCCAGCCCCGGCGAGGCTGCGCTGAGTCTTCTGGATTCGCGCGACCTGGCGCCTGGGAGCCGGAGGGCCTGGGGGCGGGGCGAGCGGTGCAGAAGGAGGGAGCCCCCCTCGGCCCCCGCATTTCCCTTCAATCAGGCCCCAGCCCACCCCTCCCTCTGGGACTCCTGACGCCCCTCCTCTGGCCTGAGTGACAAGCCAGAGTGAGCTCTTCACGGGAGAGAGGGAAAAGGACCGACTCCAGAGGACTCGGAAACAGCGGGATGAATAGCGCTTTGTTTACCACGCACAGGATCCCGTGCTAGGCCGGGGGGTGGGGAGGAGGTGAGACCAACCGGAGGCCGCGGCCTCGCAGCCCGGGCTCCACCCGCCACCCCGGCGCCTCCCACCCCTGAGAAAGTGCTTTGTAAACGAAATCTCTGTGCAAATGTTGTTTTATCATCATTACACCACCCCTGCCCCCAAGGCTGGGGACGTCGGAAAAGGCTTTCCAAAGAGCATCTGCGGGCTCTAACTGGGGCAGGCTTCCCCCTCCCCCTGCTCTGGCCCCCAGCAGGCCTTCCCTGCCGACTGAGCTGAGGTTTCAGAGTTGCTGGGGGGCGATGCCCACAATCCAAGCGCCCTCCTTCCTGGACGCAGCAGGGCGAGGCGGGCCGCGCCCTGTAGGCCTGCGGCCGGGCCAGCAAGAGGGGGCCTGCTGGCTTTTGTTTCCGCCTGGCTGTGGCTCCCACACTCGTTCTTTTGAACCCTGGATCAGAAAAGAAGACAGCCGGAGAGATAGACACCTGGAGCCCAGGCGGGGCTGGGAGGGGCAGGGAAGGGATCCCGGAATCTCCCGAAGCTGGGAGCTCCCTCCAACTGCACCCCAGGGAGGCAGAGGGGCAGAGGGTCCCTGGGGTAGGCGGCCTTGCTCCTTTGGCCCTTTTCATGTACATTGATTAGTCTCCAAAACACCTTCATCTGTGGACACGGGCTCATGTCAGGCTCCTTCCCGCCAACCTGGCAGGGGGCAGCTACATGAGACCATGGAGGCCCAGCAAGGCCAAGGGCACGTGGTTGGGAAGGTGATAATGATGCAATTCAAACCCAGGTCTCTTGGTGATTTCCTTCCATAAACATCCCAGAGCATCTCTGTGCCAGGAACTGGGGACCCCAAAACAAAGGACTGTGTTCCTGCCTTCAGGGATGGCCCAGTCAAGTGGGGGAGACTTTCACCAGCACGGTTGTACCACGGTGGGTGTTGGTAGCAGAGGGACAAATGCTGAGAGGGGAGCTCGTTGTGCAGGGGCAGGGACGGGTGGCGGGGAGGGCTCTCAGAGGAGAGACGGGTGGCAGTGTTGCGGAGGAGGGGCCAGAGGTGTGGAAGCAAGGGGCCACGAAGCAACATGGCAGGGCGGGGGCACGGGCAAGGGTTTGGTTCGGTCGAAGCGTGGGTTTAGAGAAGGGCAGTGTGGGGACAAGACTTGGAGAAGGAAGTAAGGCCTCGAAGCCAGAGTGCCTTTCAGGGCTCGGTTATTATCACGAAGCCAGCGGGGAGCCCCTGCGGGGCTAGGAGAGCAGCACACAGCACCCTGAAGAATGGAGTGTGGGGAGACCACTTAGTGATGATAAAAAATAAGAATTATAGCCCCGGAGGCATCAGCGGGGGTGCCTCTCAGCACCCTGGTGGCCCATAGTGTTCATCAGGAGGGCGGAGAAGGAAGGAGGCCCGGTGGAGACCCTGCCCTCCATCCACACCCAACCTGGCAGCTCCCCTCCTCTCCCAGTCAGGGTCCCACGCCCAACACGGGCTCCCGTCCCAGAAGGTATGCACAGGGTGTGGCATCCAGGGACTCCCTCCTCTCGCTGCCTCACTGTTTATTTGCCATAGAGTTGCAGCGTCTTGCGTGCATGTTTTTTTTTTTTTTTTGGCTGCATTGGGTCTTGGTTGCTGCGCTCAGGCTTTCTCTAGTTGCGGCGAGCAGGCCCACATGCATGGTTTTTGCTTCCCCGAAATACCTTCTGTAGTGGGTTGACTTGTCTCCCCCAGGATGATACACCAAGTCCTGACCCCTGGTACCTGTGAACGTGACCTTATTTGGAAACTGGGTCTTTGCAGATGCAATTAAGTTAAGGATCTCAAGGTGAGATCATCCTGGAATTCTGGTGAGTCCTGAACCCATGACTGGTGCCCTTATAAGAGAAAAGACAGGGAGATCGGAGACGCTGAGATACAGAAGAGCCCCAGAGGAGAAGCCTCGCAAAGACGGGAGGAGACTGGAGGTGTAGAGCTACCGAGGGACCCCACAGGCCGCTACTGAGGCCGCCCTCACCAGAAGCCAGGAGAGAGGCACAGGCCACTCCTCCCTCAGAGCCTCAGATGGGGGACTTCCCTGGTGGTCCAGTGGCTAAGACGCCACGCTCCCAATGCAGGGGGCCGGGGTTTGATCCCTGGTCAGGGAACTAGATCCCACGTGCCACAACTGAGAGTCTGCATGCCGCAACTAAACATCCCGCACGCGGGCAATGAAGATCCCGCATGCTGCAACTAAGACCCAGCGCAGCCAAATAAATATTAAAAAAAAAAAAAAGAGGCTCTAGAAGACACCAACTTATGACACCTCAATTTTGAGAGTAAATTTCTATTGCTTTAAGCCACCACCTTTGTGGCCATTTGTTATAGCGGCCTTAGGAAACGAATACACCTTCCCACTTGGAAACTGAGTTTCGGAAGTCCTCACCCCTTTCACAGATGAGCAAGTAAAAATGCAGAGAAGTTGGGTGATTGCCAAGGTCCCACAGCTAATGAGCATCAGAATCGGATCTGGGTCTCCCACCTCCCAGGCACTTTGCTTCTCCTCTGTCTCTCTCAGAACCGGGGGAGCTGCCCACCTGACACCCCCCATTTATACTCCTTCCTCACGGCTCGCAAATGGACCATCACCCTCATTGTGCAAAGACACAAAGCGAGCCCCAGGCCAGAGGAACCCTGGCAATGCCTGGAGGTGGGGCCGGCCTGGGAGCAGGGGGCCCGGCTCTGGGGTGTCCCCTCTGGAACCTCCCCCTCCGCTTTTCTGCTCCCTGCAGCTGGTCCCGAGCATTTGTGTTTTCATTTCTCAATTAATTCATGGCTGCGAAGTGGACGCACAAATCACTTGCACAAACAGTGGCGTGAATTTTTCATCACCATCATTATGAGGTTCTCGTTTATCTCTGGCTTCAGATTTCCCGAATCATCATTCCCCAGCTCCCTTCCCTTTATGAATGCACAGCTCTGAAAAGCAGTGGGTGCAGGGAATTCTGGAATTCTCTGGCTGCCTGGAACCGGCAGAGGTCATCCCGCCTGGCCCAGCCATGGATCAGTCCCAGCCAGTGCTTTTCTGAGCAGAGTGCGGCCACGCTCCCTCCACCCCGGTCCCCGTGCATCTGCCTCCCTCCCCACTGGGGACCTGAGTTGGTGCAAAAGGGGCGGGCTGGCATCAGACAGATCGGGGTTCACATCCTGGTTCTGCCTGTCCCCAGTCTGCCACCCCAGGCCAGTCATTTAATCACCCCTCTGAGCTCCAGATCCTGCATCAGTAAAATGGGACCCCCATGTGACCTCCCTGGGGGGCTGAGGTTAGTGAGAAGTCCACGCGGAAGCCTGACACCGGAGGTACGCGCCGTGAAGTATGAGCTGGTACTCAAGGCCCCAGGTGTCCGCCCCTGGGTCCATGGGGCCACCCCTTCTCCAAATGTATTATTCCTTCAGGCCGCTGATAAAAGGTGCTGTGAGGGGCAGGGGACTCCACGCTGTCCGGGGGCCACTGGAGGGGCCGCTCTAAGTCCCGTAGGGACGGGCCTGCCGCTGGAGAGCTGCTGGGAGGGGCCGGAGGTCAGAGGAGCCCCGGGTGACCCACAGCTGCTGCTCTGGCCCAGGAACAATGAGCCAGCGTGCCCTGCCCCCTCCACTGCTCTTTGTGCCCAAGATGCCACTTGGCGGGGACAGCTGTTGGCCTCCCAGTAGCCACTTGAAGTGCAGGGCAGGGAGGTCCAGCAGCTGGGATGGTCCTGCTCTGTCTTTGCCTGGGAGCTTGGCCTCTGGGAGTCCGGTGGTTCTAGAAACTCTACTCTGGAAAAGGCATCCCTCTTCCCTAGGGGCGTGGGCCCAGTAACAGGACAAATGACCCTGCCCACATTTCTCATCAGGGCCTCCTCTGGTCCTCACTGCAACCACTCAAGTTGCTTCTGCCCATTTTACAGATAAAGAAACCAAGTCCCGGAGGGGTGAAGCAACTGCTTAAAGCTCACACAGCCAGTAGATGTCGGAATGGGGACCTAGACTCCCAACCATTGCTCCTAATTACTAGGACTTCATCAGGGGAGTGTCACCATGTACACTGCATTCTCTCTAATTCCCACAAAACCCCAGAAAGAGGCATTCTTCTTTCTCTTCTACAGTCGAGAAAACCAAGGCTCAGTGGCTTACCCGAGCTTCCCAAAGACCATCAGCTCGGTCTGCATGACCCCAAAGCCAAGCTCCTTCCAGCTGACCAAGCTGCAGTGCAGGAAAGGGCCCCACCCCTTGCCAGGCTGGTGAGACGACCAAGACCCCTGAGGCCTGAGACTGTGCCCGGGCCTATCAGTGGGCACGTGGATTATATTTCTAGCCAGAGAGTCAAGGAGACAGGCCGTTTTGGGCTCAAGGGGGTCAGTCTCGGCCCAGGGGTGTCCTAGTAGCTTTTCTCCTCCACTGAGAGAGAGAGAGAGAGGTTGAGATTTTTTAAAATATAAATTTATTTATTTATCTATTTTTGGCTGTGTTGGGTCTTTGTTGCT